CCAACAAAGAAACCCACACTTCAATAATAGGAATGCAGTGTGTCAAATAATCTTTTACTCTGTGTGAGTCACTGTTTAATTTTAAATCCATGCACATGCAAAGGACCATGAATGAGGTAGTTTAAAGCCTCATCCAAAGCCCATTGACGTCAATGGAAAGACTCCCATTGACTTCAATGTGCTTTGGATCAGGTCCTAAGTTTAATCCTATTTAATTTGTTCTGCACTTGTTGAATCTTTTAAACCTGTTTGAACTTATTCTACTAAAACTCCTTGGGATGGCATTTATTTCTTTCTTCATCAAAATACACTCTTATGCCATCATTGGACAGGTGTGTGATGCTTGAATGCCAAAAACCATAGGAAGACAAGCTTTACTGAAAAGCTGAGTGTCGAGTTCCTGGCTTACAATACATCTGTGGTTTGCTTGACAGGAGGGGCTTCATTTGTATAATCACATATGAAATATACACTATGCGACAATACCTCTTTTTCAGTCCCAGGATTGTTATGCTGGTGTTTTCAGTCTGCTGAAGTTCATAACACTCTCTTGCCTAGGTGTCGTTACTAATGTGTGTTGCCCACACAATCCTGTTCACACTTGAAATCTTTAAAAGGACATTAGCCAATTGAACAAACATCCTCTGGAGTTCTGAGGGAGATATTCAAATTAGTGGTGGAGTGTGTTACAACTCCACCCAGCAGCTAAGATACCTGAAGTGCTGAAGGCACTTCTCCATTGCCTGTGTAGCTATACCACCTGAACTGTCCTGCTGTTGCTATGTGCATCCTATTTAACAAAGCAAGCAATGAGAGATTGTCACAATGAAAAAAAATTAATTAAAATAGTGGTGTAAAGGGAAATAATTTCATTAAGCAGTGGCTCATGAGTTTGAATAACAACAGTGGTCACAGTGAACAGTTCAGTGCCTAAAAGGAGACTGAATGGAAGTGTTAATACAGCTGCAGTACTTTTATTTTCAGCAGCGACAAGCTACATAAATCTGCTGTTAATGAACTAATCAAACGGAGCTCTGGCATGACTAGGAGGTGCAAGCTTGCCCCTTGACTCATCATAATTAATACATGAATGCCATTTATTCAAAACATTGTCAGGACTCATTTCTTTAAGAAGAACAGCAACAAAAATAGTGGCTCTATACCTAGCCTCCTGAAATAGCTCAATCTCACAGGCAGGACTCTTGGAAATTAAGGCAGCATCACAAGGCACATTCCATTCAGGCCACAAGACTGTCAACATTCACGTGAACACTAGCAGCAGGGTTGCAAAGTCTATTCTAGGTTCTCTCAGGGCTTGGGCAAGATGCTCAGGTCAACATCTGGCCCCAAAAAAGAGGACAGTACAGAAATATAGTAAGCTTTGGTCAATAACATCCCAAATGCAAATTATTCTACTAGGACAACGTATAGCACTGCAAACAGAATTTTTACTCTCAGGTTTTAAAATTCACATCTGTGTTAATTGTCCAAGGAAAGCAACAGCTTGGGAAAAGGAGTGGGAGGCCTCACTGGACTCTCACCACAGCACCAGGTCCCTGTAATGTAACACCAGGAGACGCATTTTCAGTTCCTATGGTCTGGCCAATGGACAGCAGGGAACTTATACAGTATTGGGGACCAATTAACCAAAAAATAGCAGTACTTACTAATAGAAGAGATTTATTTCCCACATGAGGATGTCATGGGTCAGTCCTTGCTGCAGTGCTTGCTCCACAAGCAGAAAAGTGTTTTTAACAAGCTTATAGCTCATAAGAATTCCATCTAGTCTTTTGAGACTTGCCAGTCTCATAGGTGGCTCTGGAGGAGTGTGTGTGTGATAAGATAGATAAACATGGCTGCTCCCTGCCTTACACAACTGCATGCCTGAGCAACCAAGTGCTCACAGCTAGTAGCTTTGAAGGTTGCCTGTCGTGAGCAGAGGGAACACGATCACCACCTGCTGTTCATAGAAAATACAGCCCGAGAGTGATTTACCACGGTGTGTGTGATAGTAAGATTTTTACAGGTATCAATTTGCAAATGAATTAATGTAACAACATGTTTAAGTACAGTGACTATAGCTAAGGACAAGCTGTCCACACCATTGCAACTAATAACACTGTGACCTACTGTCTAGTCTGTACATATGTCACAGCCTTCTACAGGGGGGAATCTAAGACCTGGTCAAGTGTTTGGGCTACTGTGTCTGATTATTGCAAGGATCTCAAATTGCTGGGCACCATTACAACATCCAGTATGTGCTGCCGCACCTAAATATAAGAGGATGAGATAATAATAACCTTTAGCCATTACTTTCAATGCCTTTGCTGATTTGGTTTGTGACATAATCCTAACGCTACTTGAATACATTTTATTTTATGGGTTGATAATGCAAATTCTTTGAGCTTAATACCAATGCAAATAGTAACTGACTGTCTTGAGAGTGCTGCCAAAAAAGTGCTATTTCACAATTTACAGCTGGCTGCAGAGGACGTTATGTAGCTACATAATAATAGCACCAAGTACATCAATTGGTAACGCCAGATAAAAAAGTCCAGACGTATTTTAGCTCTGACTGGGGATTTTTTTTGGAAGCTCTGTGTGGGGTTTTGGAAGATCCTGACAGGAAGACTTGAGTCATTTTAAATAAGAGTGTGGAGCTACTGGGGGTCAGAGAACATCGCTAGTTATCTGATCGGGGATTTCCCAAGGGAGTTCAGTTGGGAAAGAAAAAACATTAATAATTATACTTTACACTTACATAGCACCTTCCATCCAAGGGTCTCAAAACACTTTACAATCAGGAATAAAGTGAGCCTTACAATACTTCTTTGAGGCATGTGGAGTGGCTGTGCCCAGTCCACTCGAAGCATTGCTTGAAGGCATCAGCTGGACTATAAGATGGCTACTGCAGGATCCAGTGCTGGCTAATTCAAAGATGTGCAGTACTTCTATTTCTGCAAAGTCTAGGGGGACACTATCTGGATGAAGTTCTCACTGCTTTTCATCCTGGGTGACAAGGAAACATTGACAAGCAACTGAAGCCTGTGAAAGAAACCAGAGAAACCAAATTAGGTAGATTACAAAGAGAAGCACCATCAGAAGGGACCGTCAGTGGGAAAGAGATTAGAGCAGGGTTGAAGACTAGGTTTTAAGCCATCATTTACTCAGATAACTAGATTATATACTGCCTCTGGTGTCCCAAGAGAAGTAATATGAAAAGAGGAGCAGAGGATACCCTTACGAAGGCTGAAGAATTTCTAATTCATGCAGTCTACATTGGGGCCAATGATACACATATTGGCTGATTTGATAGAGCCAAGGGTACTTTTAAGGACCTGGGAAGGTAGAGACACTGCAGCTAATCTTCTGGGTCCATCTGATGACAAATGTGAGTGAAGAAGGAAGAGTGGCTTAATACCGACCAGACCTCCTGCAGCTTTTATTTTTAAGGAGTAGTAACTACAGGTCATTTAAGTACAACTACATTTAAGTGCAGAGCTTCACCTTCTCAGAGGAGCACTGGATGGCAGAAGGAGTGTGCCTATCACAACACTCCTTTATAAGGTGAACCCATCCTTTATAATGCTTCACCCATCTCTATCCCCTTTAGGGCATTGTATGGTCCTGTGGTGAGAGAGAGATGGAGCCACTGCCTTTCTGCCTGGCTTTTTCGCAGACCATGGAAAGTCAGAGGCAGTGGTTCCTTGCTTTCACTGCACTGCACACTCCCATGAAAGCCAGACAGAATCTGGTGATCAGAAATTTACAAGATAATTGAGAATACAATTTATTTTCTTACATGAACAGTAAAAGAAAAGGTGCCATGTACACAAGATAGTAGCACAGAGGAGAGGGGGTGGCAGCATGGGTTGTGTGTTTCTTCCAGGAAGGATATACATAGTGTTGTTATAAATGTTATATCTACGATTTTATTTTTATCAGTTCATACCACTTGGTCCATCATTCCTCAATTATTTCAGCTGTTAATCTAGGGAGTAAGTCATTCACTTCTCTTAATTATTTAATTTTGTCAATCAGTAATGAATTTAAAGGAACTAGACAAACAAAAGCTCCTTTTGAACAGATAGACACATTCTTTTCTTTTCTTTCTCTGTTGTTGTGATGAGCTGAATTAGAAAAGAAAGGGATGATCGCGATTAAACACTCGTGCTGTACTGCCAACTGCATTTTCCTTCTAGCCACAAGAGGCAGCCATTCTAAATAATATAGCTGCACTGAACAGGTTCTGAGGTTACATTTCACTATGATTTTCCCAACTGTGCTATATGATTTGTTATGTATACAGGATGCTGGTCTATCTGCACAGGAGTAAGCATACAAATAATTATTTGATTGTTCAAGCGTATAATTTCCTCTACAGTACCTGGAGAGAAGACCACAGTTAAAAGGCCTTTTCAAAATTCATTTCCATGTAAATTTTATTTTGAAAAAAGTATATAAATTATATTCTCTTGAGATCATATTGTCTGTAGACTTGTGGTAATAAATAAGTGATCGTATGCTATAAGAAGAAAACTATTTTAATGTGAAAAGGGAACACAAGAGCTCATATTGGGAAGTCCTGTTTTTCCTAGTTGTAAGGTTTTTAGATCAGATGTCTCATCAAAATAAAAATTGAATATGGGAAGGTGGGGGCAGATTATATCTATATATCGAAATCTACTCCACATTGCCAGACTCAAACATCCTAGGAGTCATGTGAAGACAATTCATATTAATGGAGTATTTTATTAAGGTGCAGCATGGTCGAAGGCCACAAAATAGCAACATTCTGTCAGATGAACAGTAGTTTATTGAAGTCTAATAATGCTGGAGGGCACAGGATTTTAGCCGTGTTGCATTTTGTTTGCCTGCATTCATATTAACATCAGAGCTAGAATTTATTGTACACATTTTTCATATACATTGTTTTGTCAGCGGGTGCATTATGTTTTGTTTAACAGATATTGGCTTTCTATTTTTTAAACTACTTTTAGGTGTGTTGTAATGGGATTCTGCACAACAATAAACCTGGCTTCCAGTGCTGTGAGGACAAGTACATTCCATTTATTCTTAATTCATTGGGGGTTTGCTGTGGTGGTCAGATACACGCTGTGCAACCAAAGTATCAGTGCTGCGGTGGCTATTACACCAAGGTATTAGCAGGTAAGAGGCAACTTCTTTCAAGCATTTGAAAGAAATAAAATTGCACAGTAGAGTTGATGTACCTCTTAAACCAAGGAAGGTGAATACATATTAATATGTTCAGCATTTATAGAGATTTTTGATGTCATTTATAGATGAGCAAAGGTTCTGTACCGACATGGAATGGGCAATGAGAAATTGCCTTGATATTGCTGCCTAAACACAGTCGACTCCACTTACACAGGAAATGCCTAACCGATAAATCTTCCTAATTGGGTCATTTCCCAAACGAATTTAACATGAATGATACTTAACAGCAACAACTGCTGGTTAATGGGGAGGGCAGTTCTGCTTAATAGGGACGCTGTCAGGCAATTTTGTGGTGCTATGTCTTTTGTGTGACTTAATCTTGTGGTGGTCTGCCTGCCTGCTCCTGTAGCAAGAGCTTTTAGTCCCTCCATACCTGTGATACGTAGAGAGAAGTGCAACTATATATGTTGGATGGCAAGCTCAACATTTCTCAGATGCTCCTGGTGTTAATACTGCTGCAGCGGACTCCCTCTCCAAATGCAGAAAGTACATCATCATTTTTAATCCATGGGACTGTTCAGTAACATGATGGTCTCTGCAGATCCCTGGACAGCACCATTACTGTCAAAATGGTGTGGGGTTTTCTTTGTAAGGAATTCCTACTAATGGTGCATATAAACAGAACACTACTGTATCTAAAAAGATTCTCAGGTGAAACACATGACAAGTTACAGGTAACTTTTGTAACGTAACCATTACTTTTAAAAAGTGCCTTTGTTTCTAATTTTCAGGAAATAAATCATGTTTTTGGTAAAATGTTCACATTCTACTTTATATTGAAGGCTTCCAGTTATCCATTTCAAATTCCATTTAACATTTAAAATATCACTTACTTACTAGTAAACATTATTGGGTTATATAGTGAGGGGATAAAGAGAGAACATTAAATATTTCTTGTTGCTCCTGACTGCTATATCTTAGGTCTCCAATTCATTGGTTGGTTGATTTGATTTATATTGTGCACCCATCATCCTTATCTCTAGGCACCTACTACAAATTTGTAAATAATGAAAAAGATAACTTGACAGACAAACTGATAAAATGTCAGTACTACAGAAACTCCACCCCTGCAAAAAGGAAAGGAACAGTTCCCACTTAGCCCAACTCCTCAGAAAAAGCTTGAGTAAAGAGACTCTCCAACATGCTCAGACTCTCTTGTGACATGCTTCTCTGACCCATTTACAACAAACACACATGAGTTCTGTGCACACACCAGCTTCTTCGACAACACAGCCCTATTGCCTAACTGTTTTTGCATGTGTGCAATCTAGGAAAATCTGGGCAGCTGCCCCATAGTGCCTCTTTTGTGGAAAGAGGCTCTGATCCTGCATCATTAAAGGCAATACAAGCCTTGCCAGTGACATGAGCATAGGACCGAGCCAGAGAACATGGTGCAAAGTGGCACTAGAAATCTATGAGGCCACGCACCCCGGGATGTTATGTGCTGACACAAACCATCATTAGAGCCAGCCATATTTCTAATTGGTTACTATATCAGTTTAAAATTATAGTGTAGCTGAAGCCTATGGAAAAATAAATACCAGACCCTCTGGAACCTCAGATGAGAACTCCCTAAACTCTAGACTTGTTGACTGTACAGACCATCACTTCAAGCACTCAGATGATCTCACTCTTAGGTGAAGTGATGGGTAGAGAGGTGGTGTCTCAGTAGTGTACCAGTGCTCCCACTCGCTTTCACCCTAGGGACTGGACAGTAATGCAGGACTGAAAACTTAGAAATGCAGCTCAGGAATACCATGTTATCACATTAGGAAAGGGTTCTTTGCAGCTAATCACCTAACTGCTAAAATGCACATAATCTCCCCAACACATCCTAATTTTCTGGCATATAAACGACCAAAGCTGGTAGCTCCTATGCAGTATTGTAATGTACTTTGCTGGCTGCTTTTCTCACCTTTTCTGATGTGCTTTTAAGACAAAATTTGAGCTTGCAAACCCCAAATGTATTTTTTCCTGAAATATGACTTTTAAGTATTTTTCCCATTTAGGTTACTGATTTTTATTCAAAGACTGTAGGCCTGGTCGCCCTCAAAAAGATTTTTTTGTTGGGTGTTTAGTACGCAAATCTCTTTGCAGGCAGTTGACAGGTCAGGAGCTAAAATGCTTGCATTACCCATGAGATGTCACGCACTGTCTATGCTCAGAAATGCTTGAATTTCTGCCAAAATGTTCAGCACATCTCGAGCGCCAATCCCTTGAAAAGGAATTCATATATCACAATATTAGAATGTCTACCATGATGTCATCAGAAAAATGCGCTCTCAGAAAAACCAGAGAAAAGTATTTTGCTGGCTCATTAATCTCAATGTACTGAAATGGGAAGATTATATTCTGTGACCTCTATCCCCATCCAGTGGTCTGTGTTAACTAGCTTAATGTTGTTTACATCAGGAAAGAAAAGAATAGTGACACAAAGCATCTTGTATCTGAAAATATTTCATGTTCAATCATAGTCCTCAAGCATGAAGCCGTGAATATTTGTACATGATTTGCAAATATTTTTTTTAAATATACTTAGTGCATTCTCCCTCTTTTTTTTCTTATTCTAAAGGGCAGCAACATGAACAATGTTGGTCAGTTTTCTTTCTTTTTTTTATAAATATGCTAATAACCCCAAGCTAAATGTTAATGTGGGTCATTCTTTGATAAGGATAACAATTAACTGGTAAGACTGCATGGTAGTTTTCAGAGAGAAAACATTTCAAACCTAGCTTGGAATGGATCCCATTTTGAGAGGTTAATGAGAAGGTTACTGATCCTTTGTGTCTAATGTCTAATAGTCCTTTGCAAAAAACAGTTTTATTTCCAACTGATGTAACCTACAGTCACTGTTTTGAGGCCTATTGCTGTGCAGTCACTAAATTAGATTCTGAGGAATGAAGGAAAATATGGCTAAGTATCTAAACAGATTATATCTATTATACTGGAAAGATTTGTTCTTGTCTTTTTGTTTATTATTGACTTTATTTGATAAAGATATTTATACAGAGTACTCTCTAAGCATACATATTTCCCAGATGTTGTTTGGCCAGCTTGATGGCACTAGATGTACAGCAGCATATTGTGCTAACGGCATGAAGATTACAAATTAGGAAGTCTCGGTTCTGTGACTCTGGAGCAGGCTGAAGTGCCAAAATGTATCCCAGAGCTAAAATGGGAGGTTGCACTCTCTAAGCAGAGTGAAAAAAATAATGCTAGTACCCCTCACATGCCACGTTTTCTACCAACGAATTCTGAGTGAAGAGAAATAATGCTCTACCTTGAATGTCATCAGTGCATATTTTGTGTCTCGCAATTAATAGCTGCATGGGGTTTAAAGTCATTATTGGAACACTCATCCTTTCAAGAGAAGAGGATTCGAGCTGTGTCTGTCACAGAGGAAAATGAAGCTAGAAGGACAAGAGAAAATTGCTTAAAAAGTAACGAGAGTTCGAAATATTTTGTCAGTATTGCTGTCTGTCCTGAAAAGCAGAAGACAGCCATCACCCCTATTCCGTTTCCCGTGCTTCTTTTCAAATCCTGCAGTATCAGCATTTGGGCCACACAAAATATTCCAGTTTAGGTAGATACTATAGAACCCCCACTCTTAGGTCACTATTTCAAATCAAGCCCAAAATGGTAGTTGTTACCATATGATAGCTACTTTGTGTCCTGTGTTGAATGAATTAGCAATCGCCTCTCCATTTCTGGTACACAATTAACCCCATCAAAACCCACCCTCATAAATGGTGGTAATTGGCAGCCTTCAAAAGTGAAATCTTCATTACTCTGTGGCTGCCTATGCTACAAGTATCAAACCAACACTAATCTAGCTTAAAGTGCTTACAAATATAGAAGGTTTTTTAAAAGTATGTTGCTTTTCTATGCAGACTTTGTCTTGCTTATATTGCAATAAATATCTTATGAGCCATTTCATTTCAAAGAGCTCTAAGTTAGCCTCTGCTTTGGTGCCTGTGTGTTTGTGGTGGTGTTGTTATAAGCATTTATAACGTTACAGCACTCTGAAGTATAGGAAATGACTGTGCAAAAGAGTCTGTGTTTTCATGTGCAATAATTTGTATTTAAAGATAATAGACGATGACCCCAATCCAATATCCATTGCAGTCAATGTGAATTCTCTCAAAGATTTCAATAGCCGCATATGCACGAAATCACCAATTTTATACTTAAATTAACAGGAGAAGTGTGCTGCCCTAATGAAGAACAAAACAGGGTTTCGGTTGGAGTTGGTGACTCTTGCTGCCAGGGTACTCCTTATTCCACGTCAGGGAATCAGATCTGCTGTGGTGGATCACTCCATGATGGCTTCAGTCATCAGTGCTGTGGTGGGCAATTAGTAAGCAAAGACCTGATCTGCTGCGGTGATGGAGACAAGGGAACTGCACACAGACCTCTCCCAGGTAAGCTCTGACATTACCACCAAAATGTACTGTATAGAAAAACCAGGACTGGGCATGGATGGCTCTCCACCTCGCCAGCCCTAGTCCAACATTGGCCACTCTGCAATGAAGCACGTAGATGTACAGTAGACGTGCCCCTTTCATTAAAATAAAGACTTAACTCCCTCCCCACCCCATCCTGCTGAAGGAGCATTCAGGGATGTGGGTCATTTTATTCCACATCCCATCATCATCTCTCTCTCCTCTTTGCCTTTTGAGAAAAAGTTACGTAGCCTAGTATTAAAATATAGGGCTACATTGTGGCATAAAGCCAGGGCACAGCCCTAGCAGGCACTCCAGGTGGTTGTGTGCTTCCGGCAGGCACAACACATCCTGGAGCTTCTGGAAACCAAGAGGAGTGCACCATCTGCCCCCCTCTCTGTGTCTGGCCTCACTCCAGTCCTCTCTCCACTCCCCTTGCAGACACTTGTCCTGAGAGTGGTGCTAAGTCCTCGTGCCTCTCAGCACAAGGATTTCCATTGTTCCTGGGTCTTTGGGTGTAAACAAGTAGGAAGTAGAGGGGATGAGTCTATTTGGACCCTCTCCCTCATTTGTGCACCCACATGGTGGCTGGGGAAAATAGCCCATAGCTTTTTTTAAATAATAAGATCTAGTGATGAGACCAAATCACCAAATCCCCACCCGCTGTACCCAGTCCACCTTTCACACATCAAGTTCCGTTTGATAGAGTGGATTCAGCCAATGCTTCAGTAGGACCGATAGTTTAACAGTTGCACATAGAATTGCAGTGACCTAAAATTAAGATCTTAATGGGAAAAAAAGATAATACTCACACCTACTTGTCAACTCTTGGGAATGGGCCACATCCACCATGATTGAATTGGCCTCATTAGCACTACAAAAAATAATTTTCCCTCTGTTGATATTCACCCCTTCTTGTCAACTGTTGGGAATGGGCCACATCGACCCTAATTGAATTGGCCTTGTTAGCACTGACCCCCCCACACACTCGATAAGGCAACTCCCATCTTTTCATGTGCTGTATATTTATACCTGCCTACTTTTATTCACTCCATGCATCTGATGAGGTGGGTTATAGCCCACGAAAGCTTATGCCCAAATAAATTTGTTGGTGCCTAAGGTGCCACAAGGACTCCTCGTTGTTTTTAAGAAAATCGCTTTGCCATTGTGTTTCCCCATCTGTAAATGAGCAGGGATCCTTACCTCTTTTGTGAAGCAGATTGAGATCTACAGATTGAAGAGCTAGTTGTTATTAACAACCATAAGTAGGTATTCCGGTACAAATATCCTTCTTAACACAGTATTCAGAGAAAAAGTAAAAGCCTGTTAATCTTAGGTGTTTTCAGTCTGAAGAAAACTGTTCTTTACTAATTGTCATCTAGAAGGGAAGCCCAATTTTTAAACATGGGAGTCGTAAATTGTAGTACCCAGTTCCACTTTTGTGTGCCCAGATTGGCACCGAAGTGACTAAAATAGGTATTTGGCCACCTACATGTCAGTGAGAGCATTTAGCTGTGGAATGAGCACCCTAATTTTGATACCCAGATTTGAAAATCAAGCTCATAATGTCAGGTATCATTAAGTATAAGTCTCCATGAACCCCTTGGACAGGGCATCCCATGCCCTTCCCCACCAAAAACAGGTCATCCTTTCTTCACCTGAGTTCTTTCTCACTTCAACCCCCTATGGTAACATTAGATGTATTCTTCACCCAAACCTATAGGATTTCCCATACCATTGTGATAATTGTTGGAAAAGGGCTAAACCAGCATCACAGCTTTCTCCAGTGGTTCCCATGCCTTCGTTTCATTCCAGTGGTGAATTACACAGCTAGCATCCTCTTTGCTCCTCGTCACCCCAATCCTTACTTGTCAGCTCCACAACATCAACGTAGAAATCACACAATATCACTCCTGTACCAGACGCAGACGGGGCTGACTCGTAAAACATCTCTTTATGTACTTTATTACTTAAACTCTTTTATTTGCCTGCAGGAGCCCTTTAACAAAATCACATTGAATTGACTTTCTCACACCAAATCAAATCTCCCTGGTCCCAGTTCAGTTGTCTTTGTCAATATGTATTTTATAAATGGAGTGAATTAACAGATGCTGTTGGAACAGAACTGCTGGGGTAGCGTTTATGTTTTTACTGCTCTCTCTGGGCAGATGAGTTGTCTAGAAGTGTAATACAGGTATCTTGGGATAAAAGTCATGTTCTTCATTTCACTGCATGTGTATTCTTAACCTTTTTTTCTTAATATATATTTTAAAAGCCTTTAAACATTTTTTATTTTTTATATAAGTGTTTGCCTATATTGCTCTATCATTTATGCAATTTTTCTTCAAAATGGGTCAAGATGACATTTCTGGCTATTAAAGAATAAAATCGGTAGCTTTTTCATCACTCATAGATTTGCTGTGAGGACATATTTTGCTGTGAGCAAGCATAAGACTGGACACACACATATGTTTGAAAGACAAATTTGTTCAACGATTACTCAGTTTTTAAAAATTCTTATTTTGTTGAACTAAACATAAAATAGGCTATGTTTTCATATATCATACTCCGTATATTTGGTGCTTAATTTCTTGTGGCAATTCAGCCTTGCAAAACCATCAAGAAAATGTACCAGCCAGCCTTAAAATCTACTTACCTCCCACCCCATCATGCCTATGATTGTAACGAAAAAATATTCTCCTGCAGAAAAGCATAACACACTTCTCTTAAGAAAATGGGACTTGCTTCTTGTATAATGGGTCCATTCTCTACTTGGCCTTACTCTAGAGCTGAAATGCTTTTGATGCTGTACTTTGTACCTAGCCAATGAATGCTATGTTTAAAAAGGTAACTTCAAGTGAGTTTTTTTTTTATTGGTGAGTTTGTTTTCTGAAAAGTATGATGGAAGCAAATCAATGTCAACAAATGTTGCAAGCACTTGTGCATATATTTAACTTTACACACATTAATAAGTCTATTGAAATCAAGTTATGTTTGCAGAATCTGGACCCACGTTTGTAATGTACATTTGGGTAAGGTCTTGTATGCTGTCAATTTACTGTTTGCTTCTGTACAACCTTTTTTGGAGACTTTATCCTGCCATGACAAGTGGCCCCTTCAATCTCAGATTGCTGTGAATTTATTTCTCCCCTCAATTTCTCGTTTCATTTTTCCCTTTCTCATTTTGGCTCTTTACTAGCAGGGTTGACCATAGAGACATCTACTGGCAAAGACTGGCAATGATGCCACTGCATACAATATATCCTCCCCTAGCCTCACAATTGCATACAAGCATCCGAAGTTTTCTTGTGGTGGTTCTTAAGCATTGAGTGACCAGAAACCACCTCATAATTTCTCCAATTTTCTCTGATAAATTACCCCTATGATCCCAGGCCAGGATCTCAAAATACGCTATTCTGCACAGCTGTGATTCCCAATCTGCGGTAGCTGCAATATCCACCTTCAAGCCAAGGATTTCTGGAATAGCTTTCAGTGTACACTGGCTCTGTATTTTGTTGATCCTCTGTTCTGGCTTTGAAGCGTAAGCCTTTTAATTCTCATTCTTCCTCTTGAAACCGTTGGTTTTGCAGCTATACTAAATTAGTCATTCATTACCCAGCTATGTTTGTAAATTCTTTCAGTTGTGGGGATGAACATGAAATAATTGTTGACAGAAATCACTATGAGCAAGAAATGCTTTTCCAGCCCATATATTTTCTCCATGCTGTACTGCATTTTCTGCCTGTAAAACATGCATATAAAAAACATGACACACACATTCCAGCTGATTTCCAGATAAATATTTAGTAATCAGTATTTTGGTAAAATAAGCAAACAGTGTAAAGGAAATTCTCCATCTTTAAGCAATTGTATGAAGAGGTGTTGGAAAGTAAATCAATCCATCAATATTATATGGACCTATTTTGTTTTTCTTGGGGCGTATTTAAAATTGTACATTCGTGGTGTCAAGGTTCAAGAGTCAAGTGCTACATGTGATAAATTAGGAAGGGGTCAAAGGCTATGCAATGCAGTTTCAGAAGATTGTCTATCTCTGCATTTGCAGCTCATTCATGCTGAAGTGATGCACTATGGGAATTACTACCAAACTCTGCTCTGCAACATCTGCTCTCCCTAAGTGAGTTAGTGCACGTCAGACATCTTTATGTCAGAATATTGCAGTGATGGATGCAGTCTTCAGAAAATGCTGCATAAAAATCTGGTGTGCCGTTCTGGCCATTAAGTGAAATTACTATTTAAATTAATGGCGCTGTCACAGTTTATCTGTGCAAAGAATGAACGCTGATTAGGGTATTAAGTAATTAGCAATTTATCACACTGGAACAAGGTTGATAATAATTAAAGAAGTAATGGTTTACCAAAGAAACTAGAAAGGGAGTCACTTCTTGTTATGTGAGTGAAATCTTGGCTGAAAAAATTTAATTCAGTTAAACAAAGATGAGGTTCTCAGCAAAAGAATGCAGAGTTGTTGTTTTTTCAGTATGAAAACAGTTCATTATCAAAATTTTAGTTTGCCTGTCAAGAGTCCCTCAGAGCTATCAGATGGCTGGTTATTAGTATTGAATTGGGTCAATGTCTGCATTTATTTATTTAGAGGAGAAAGAAAAATATTCAACTCTTAGAAGGCTGGTTTTCACATTTTGATTGCTATGTAAGGTCCCAATACTGCAAACAGGTAATGTATACAAATAACTTTACTACCTTAAGTACACCTATTGATTTGAATGGGATTACTCACGTGGGTGCTTTCAGGATCAGTCCCTTAAAGAGCAGTGTGCATTGACTCTGGCTTATTATAAAAGAATTGCTGCAATAAATGGCAGTAAAGGAACTCGAGGCTGCATTTAAATGTCTGATTAGGAGAATGCAGAGACCAAGTCAAATATGAATTATTTTGACTCTAGCTTTCATTTTACATTGTGGTCCTGTTTTTCATTATGGCACAATTCATGCCATCATGGTTGAGTCGGTAATGACATTTCCTAGTGTACATCCCTAATTTTAAAGGATTTTCAGAAAAACTTTCCCTGAGATAAAATTTACACATTCCCTTTTGGGGAGAAGGGACAATATCAAAACAAATAATTTACAAATGAGTAATTGTGCATGGAAAATATATGAACATTTGCCCTGATTTTGGGTGCTTTTTATGTTTTCATCACTCAAAAATATTTAGTTTAAAAAGAAATTTAAATAAAAATAGGGAAATAAAATGAAATAAAATGTAATTATTATTAGAAATAAAAAACAAGAAACGATATTAAAACTTTTATAAAAGAGAGAATTGAATCATAGTTGTTGGTACCTTGAAGGTCTTTTCATTTAGTGGTTTATACACAGTACAAGCCGATATAATGGGGCACAAAATACGCGTCTCAACTTTCTTTAGAAGGCTATTTTTGTTAATATCTAACCATTAGTTAACTGGCTGTCCTGCTTAAAGGCCACTTGAAGGTGAATGAGCCCATATTTAGTACACCTGTGCCTAAAAGCAAAAGAATGCCATCAGGGGGTTACTAAATTTCCTCATTCTAAATTAGCTGATCATTGATTGTCTTTAACTTAACATGTAAGGTACCATCCATATATACAGTATTTCATAGCTGAGTTCACACACCAGCTCACGAGAAGTGAGGAGATTCTAGAGGACCCCTGTCTGTTTTCTCCATTTGTTAATTGTTTTCAGGTACATCTGGGAATAAGGACTCTCAGTTCAGTCACCTCACATTCAGACCTGAATCTCAATTTTTTTTCTCTCTGCACAATTCCAGCAAGCTGCCTCGGTGTGACATTTTTATGCTCAACTGTATACTATTCTCAGTTATTTCCCTTTCTCTCCCCCCACCCCGCCATTTTTCATATTAATATATAATGTTTTATTGTTGCAGGGATGTTCTGTTGTGGGCAGGAATATGGGAATATGTCAGATATCATATGTTGTTCAGCTTCCAGTGGTGAGTCTAAAGCACATGCTAAAAAGAATGACCCAGTGCCAGGAAAATGCTGTGAGACTGAACTTATTCCGAAGAGCGAGGAATGCTGTAATGGAGTTGGATATAATCCTTTGAAATATGTTTGCTCTGACAAGATTTCAGCTGGAATGATGATGAAGGTAATTGATAGAAAACCTCTCAGTGGCTCTGATTTGACAATGGACAGAGAAATACATTGTTCATAACTATTTTTCTAAAATAGGAATATAAAAACTCCTGTGTGCATTATTCATTTTCACATTACATCCATATTAATACCGACTGAGTTCACCATGATTGATGTTATTGCAATGAATTCTAAAGGAATTAATAATGATTAGCTGCTTCTTGTGAAGTGTTGCCCGGCACTTCAGATTAGTATAGGGGCTAAAAGTTGGCATGCCAACAGGGTTGGCATGAATAGCAAGTTTGAGTTGTGTGACCATTGTTGATCCTTATTGGCACTACTTGAGTGGGAATAGAAACTGAAGTGACTAAAGATTTTATGGAAATATCACTATACATCCCAATTTGGATAGGGTTCTTGTTCATTGTATCTGAGTAAGAATTTTTGAGTAGCAATATTTTTTTTTGCTATAGCAAATACCGTGCAGATGTTGAATATGATTCTGTACCATATCAGCTAACCTTACACACAACACAATGCTGATATGTTTTTCATGGACTAAATTGGACCCTATTGAACTCAGTGGGAACTTTGGCATTGACTTCAGTGGAATCAGGGTATGTTCCATTACGATGATGTGATGATGATATTTATTTTTACACTTTTCATCTCAGGATTCTCAAAGCATTTAATCAAAATTAATTAATTAAGCTATGCAACACCCTTTTTTAGGCAGATAATTGGAATTCTATTTTGCAGAAGCATAAACTGAAGCTCAGATAAATTAATTACAACATTTTCAAGAATGATCAGTGATTTGGGGTATGGAAATCAAACACTTTGAGCCTAACTTTCAAAAGTGCTGAGCACTCACAATGCATGTGCTCAACACTGCTAAAAATCAGGCCCTGGGTGTTTAAATAAGGGTATCCCAAAAACTAAGGCACCAAGAATCACTGGCCACCTTTGAAAATTTGACCAGACTTGTGCAAGGTCACACTACAAGTCAGTGTGTAAGTTGAGAATAGAACGTAGGAGTCCTGACTCGCAGTCCCTAGCTGTAACCACTAGCTCACACTCCCTCCCCAGTGACATGACTAGAAATATGAAAAGACTTCCATCTAATGGACTGTTCAATGAAGGTGGGGGAATGAAATTAAATGATCACTCAAAAATGGCAGCGACATTTAAATCCATTTACAATGGTTTTTAACAAGAAAATGTGTAGCAAAATAGTTGGAATAACTTCTAAAAATAACAGATGGAGAACTACTTAGAAAATGTAAAAATATATAAATCAGCTGGACCAGATGTCATGCCTCTTAGAGTTCTCACCCCTGGGGATCTGCTTCTGGGGTAGGGGTGACGGAAATAAGAAAATTAGCTATTGACCTAACTGAATTTTTAATAACTAATAATGAAAAATCATGCAAACTGGGGGAGTGCCAGAAAACTGGAGGAAAGCAAAGGGACAAAGAGTGATCCTAACAATTGATGATCCATAGGTATTACTTCAATCCCTAGCAAAATAATGGAACAGATATCCAGAGAAAACATCTAACCCAGTTCTACAAAGCACTCTGTGCAGGCAGGTTTCCTAAAGAGCAACAAAACCAAGATCATTGATCCTTATAGATTTATAATGCCCAGTCTTGCAACTCCAAGCAGCCTCTTACAGGAGTGCTCAGTATCTTGCAGGATTGAGACCATAGGGGCTGTTCTAAAACCTACTGGTTTTTAAAATACACAACTTAGCTGAAGAGACAATTTCAATATTTTCTTCATACACTGTGAAAGTTTTTTAAACCAAAATTTTATTTGTGAAAAACGGTCCTTTTTGGAAAGGAGAAATTTCACATTTTTTTTATATTTCACAAAATGTTGGCATTTTTATCAAAACTTTTATTGAAAACATCAGAAACATTGACAAAATGGTTTCAATAACAGTTCTGATTAAAAAAAATTACAAAATGAATATAGGTCAATTTTGAACCCTACAAAACTGAAACAATTTAGAAATTATTAAATTTTTCATGACAGGAAGGGCTGATTAAAGCATCTGATACATCACCTGCTAAATATGCCCCTTAGCAAATATTCTGGTGAAATTGTGGACCTTTTGTCATTTATGAATTGGTAGGATTTACTTACAAAAATCACATTAAAGTAAAACCACAGGAAACGATATATTTTTAATATACGTATCTTTCTTTCACCATAATGGATGGCAATTTCTGTATAGCAAAGACAGCAATACTAATATTAAAAAGGGTTGAAATTAAGAGCCATGTCCTGCAGCTATGATTTACAGCATCTGAGGACCTGACCTGTGATATGCATCAAAGTAATTTTGGTAAGAACTGCTAAGTTTTGAGAATAAACTTTATCTAATATTTTATAAACATCCAGCAAAAGTATTTCATAGGGTAAATTAAGGAAGCATCGGATATGATCTGTTTTCCTTTTTAATGCTCATAGTTTAGTATGCAAAAATATTTAGAGCAAATATTATAGTTCATTCCTTCCTGCAGGTCTCTGTAGATTATTAGAATTATTGCTCTCATGCTTATGGCTTGGTGGAAATAATTTCCATTAAAATTCAGGAAATAAAGGTAGGTATTAAATGTATATTTACAGTTTTATGGATTGTTCTCTATGGGCTAAATCCTGTCATGCCTCCATTTGGGGGCACACTTTGTATTGCCCGTGCGTGGGGTCCTCCTCACTCCTTGCATGTTGCAAAGATCACTTTTGTGGACATTACCTATGTGTCCTTGCACAGCTTAGCTTGCAGACTGGGAATCTGTTAACACACATCCATTGGACAATGCAAAAAATGGGAAATGTAACCTGAGGAGGAAGATCCCGTCCCTTCTGTGATCTTGTAGACTCCCCTTCTGTTGTGCAAGGCAAGCCCAGCTATTTGGGCTTCCCATGAGTGAGATTTGATTATGTTTTAGGGCAAGGACACCAGGACACTCCCCAGTGCTTTTGGAAAGTGCCAGAACAGACAGACCCTATGATGAAAGGCTCTCACGCACACTGTAAACAGCATGGCACTCAGCGTGGCTGAATGGCTGAGTCAGCTCTTTTAATTTTAACTAAATTAAGATATTTGTTCAAAAGGGCATTGAAATGGTGACATTTTCATTGTCAAATCTCTTTTTGGGAAGTAAGGAAGGTAGGACTAAGCTTCTTTATATCTCTTGATTTAAAACCGTGTACATTCCTTAGGTAAAAGAAGAATGCAAAGCTAGCACCCTGTGCCCTGAATCCATGAAAGCAACAGCATATTGCGGAAGATGTGACTTTAACCCAAGTGTCCACATCTGTGCTTGGGTTAAAGGCTCTCAGAATGCTCCAGAAAAGGAGGCAAATGACGGTGTGTGTCCAACTGCAGAAGAGACTGTCTACAGTGGAGGCCCCAATAGATATTCATTTACAGGTAACAGGAAATGGGTTTTTAAATCACTCTGGAATGAAGGGTTCTGCGCTAGGCACCGTCAGTGTTCTGTTGTTATAGTGAGGAAGCTTGCTTTATAACGTAATCTGTCTGCCAGGACTTGGGTAGTAATTTAGGCCCATGACACTGATGGTTAGTTATAAGGTGAAACTGAAACATGTGCCCGTCTTTAAAAATATATAGATATAGATACGTAACATTTCTTCTTGTGTATTTTAATAAAAAATTGAGATGACTAGTGTCTAATTTTCTTTGTTTAGACCTGAATCTAGAGCCCTATGTTACATATGAGTACAGGGTAGCTGCATGGAACAGCTATGGAAGAGGTTTCAGCGAAATTGGCAGGGCTAGCACTAAGCAAGACGTGCCTCAGGGTGTAAGAGCACCGAAATGGACCAAAGCAGAAAATCGGGAAGACATAATATTTCTGAATTGGAAAGAACCTCTTCAACCAAATGGTATTCTTAAAAGCACAAACTGTATGCTCTGCTATTCAACATGACATTAGTTAAATGTATTAGATCCACTGTTCCATACACTGAAACCTGTCTTAAGTGTATTATCAAGTTAACGGGCATCAAAATGTACATAGTCATGCCTATACTGAGTAAACATGGTGATATTATTTTCACACTTGTTCTTCCTCAGACCTTCACCCTGGTTTGTCTGTTTGTTATCCTCACTCATCACAAATAAAGTTAGATGATAAGATCATCAGGAAGAGACCTGGTTTATTATCTATCTGTAGGGCCCTCCCAATTTCACAGCCATGAAGAATGTGTCACGGACCATGAAATAAGCCCTTCCCCGTGAAATGTGATCTCCCCCTTGCTGCTGGGAGTGCCCCAGCTGGGGGGCTTCTAACTGCAAGTCCCCACCAGGACTTCCCCTGCACGGCCGCTCTCAGGGGGAGATCAGACCCAGCTCCGAGTGCCTCCTCCCGCTGCAGGAAGCTCCAGTGCTGTGGAGCAGCCCTGAAAGTTTCTGCAGCTGGAGGAGGCTTGTTGATGTGGGTCCGATTTCCCACTGCTGCTGAAAGCGCCTCAGCCAGGGGGCTCCTAGCTGTGGGTCCCTGCTGGGACAGGGCCTGTCCTTCCCTTGCATGGCAGCTCTCAGAGGAGGAGAGATCAGACCCACCTCGGAGTGCCTCCCCCTGCTGCAGGAAGCTCTGGTGATGGGCAGTAACCCTGAAAGTTCCTGCAGCTGGAGGAGGCCTGTGATCTCCCCCTGCTGCTGGAAGCGCCCCAGCTGGGGGGCTCCTAGCTGTGAGTCCCCACTGGCTGGGAAGTGACAGGACTTGTCCTTCCCCTGCAGGGCTGCTCTGGGCGGGGAGGAGATCAGACCCACCTCCAAGTGCCTCCCCCTGCTGCAGGAAGCTGTGAGGCTGGGCAGCAGCCCCGGAGGTTCCTGCAGCTGGAGGAGGCTTGTGGAGGTGGGTCTCATCTCCCCCTGCTGCTGGAAGCACTCCAGCTGGTGGGGGGGCTCTTAGCTGCGAGTCCCCACTGCCATAAAAGGGACCCCCTTACAACATGGTGAAATTTCAGATGTAAACATCTGAAAACATGAAATTAACCAATTTTAAAACCCTCTGGCCGTGAAATTGATCAAAATGGACTGTGAATTTGTTAGGGCCCTATCTGTCTGTAAAGCACACAGCACTCTTTGGAGTACAGCTATAATTATAATTAATTAACAGAGCTGGTTGAAAAATTGTGAGTTTTACATAAAATCAAAAATATTTTACGAAAGATTTTTTTCAGAATTAATTTCTGATGACAATTTTATGTTGATATTTCAAGCATTGAGAACATTTTGACCAGATCTAGAAATTAAAATGACCACTCAAGAGATTTAAGCAATCGCTTGCCTCAATAGGGGTGGGTTTTTAAAAAGACAGAGCAGAATAATAATCAATAGACTTGGAGTTCTTTGGAACAGACTCTTAAGTTGATGGTTGCCTGATAAGGGGGGTGTCCTACCAGGTTCACTGTCATATTTTCTGTGTGAAAGATGTGAAATGCTATGATCCAGTGTTGTTCAGCTAACAAAAACAGAAAACTTTTCTCTTCATGATAAGGTCTTATCATTCACTATATTGTTCTCCGAAATGGGATTGAGCATTTTAGAGGAAGAGAACTGAGCTTCACAGACACAGGTGGTATCCAGCCATACCAAGAATATTCATATCAGCTGAGAGCCTGTACTGTTGCTGGTTGCACAGACAGTAGCAAGGTGGGTGATTTGGTCTTCATAAGAGTGGTAGTAGAATTTTAATAGCTGAGGAGGTATCATAAAAATGCCATTGGAAAGGCATTTTTTCAAAGAATTTAATTAAGATTATGGGTTGAATGGGAGGAAAACATCAGTAACCAAGTGACTTTTTTGAATTCAGCTCCTTGACGTGATTGTATTAATTTCCAAATTGTTGATTTTTGGCACAAGCAGACTCAGGCACTAAACTGTACCTCAGTCTTTGCACATCTGAAATTATATGATATGGAAAGTGAGATATACAGATTTAAGATAAACAAGGAGCTTCATCCTTGGCTAAACCTAGAAGAGAGTGTTGAAGACATGCTTTATTTCCAAACAGTAAGACTAAATCCATTCATATCTTTGTTGTTTCTCACCAGGATTATTATAACCTCCTTTTCTCTGGTCTCCCCGTAGCTCATCTCTCCCATCTCTAGCCTGTACATTACGGCCAACATCCTCTTCCTCCCGTACTGCTCCAACTGCATCACTTCTCACCAGATCCCTTCACTGGCTTCCTGCTCCTGGATTAGATTCAGGCTCTTCATTCTCACCTTCAGCTCCTGCACATCCTGCATACATCACCTCTTATTTTTAACTCTCGCTCTCTCTCTTTCGATTTGTTACTGCTCCTTTTACCACTCTGTTTCACACCATCGCTCAGGCTGCCCCATTACCATGTAACAACATCTCTCACGTTGCCCCATTACTGCGTAACAACATCCAGCTTCTTCTCTACAGAGTGCCTTCTTTCTCCCCCTGCAAATACCTTCAAAAACACATTTGTTCAATGAAATCTTCCTTGCCAATGATGTCCATGTGTCTCTCTTTTTTGAGTTTTGTCTGAGTTACAGTATAGGGTCTCTGGGGCAGAGATGAGGAATTGTGACTTGCTATGTTTTGTAAGTATAAAAAATCACAGCTATACTGTGTAACCAGCAAAGTCATCAGTGGGAATTGAACCTGGGACCTTCAAAATCAAGACTGAGGTTTTTTAACCCACCTAGGCAAATTGGGAATCCAAAACCCCTTGGTAGCTTTGCAAATCTCAGTCCAAAAGTACAAGGAAATAGTCCCAGAGAGAAAAGGTGGGTGAGATACTATCTTTTATTAGACCAACTTCTGTTGGTGAGGGAGACAAGCTTTCAAGTTTACACAGAGCTCTTCAGGTCCTGTTAGCCATGACTAAGTAGCCAGCTCTTATAGTCACTGAGGCTAGCCACTAAAAGGTGACACCCTCACTTACATTAAGCCAGTGTACTGTATTACAGTACAGAAGGCATGTATATGCTTACAGCATAATAAAACTCACGTATAGTGATACTAATAAAAAGACATGATTCTCTAAGCGCATAGGACCTGATTCTCCTCTCAAATCAGAGTAAATCAGAAATAGCGCCATCGAAGTCAGTGGAGTTACACCAGTGTAAAACTGATGTAAGGGAGATGAGAATTGGCCTATATATATTCAATTTTGAGAAAGATATTAGTGAATTCTAAATTATCCCAAGCTTCAGATTTCTTCTTGAGTTCGTTAGAAAAGATTCAAAAAGCTATGAACTGATAAAGGTCCGATTATACTGAATGCAAAGAAGTCTAGCTCTATGTTTATTGGTGTTTAAAATATATGAAATCAGGCTGTTAAAATGCAAAGACACTGGCAAACCATATGGAAGAGAGTTATCAAGAGTTCTCTAGCAAGACAGTCTGCCATCCAGATTTTGCTGTTTCACCCAATGCTATACACTACAGCTGAAATGTTGTGAACCTGTTGTGATAAATTGTAGACATAGGCTTATGTAATGCATTCAAGATCACATTTCATTGTGTAAAAAGGAGGGGGGAATGTAACTAGTTCTTCAGGCCCATGGTAATGATATGCCAGACCAAGCAACAACATTTTAAAACAAAAGTGACATTCTCATTGATCGTGGTATCTAGTGTACTATTACAATAAATTGCTGTTTAATTCATATGTCTTCAGGTAGTTGCAGTCACTGTCCAAGGAGTCCCAGAGAGCGTTCAGCCACCAGTCGTCACAGCTTTGAGCTCAACAGCATTGCATTTGAGCTGGATAGCACCCAGGAAACCAAATGGCATCATCAGAGAGTATCAGATCAGTCAAAGTGGGAAAGGGCTTATATACACAGACACCACAGGCAGAATGAAGCATACTGTATCAGGTAAGGATGGGAAGCTCTTTGAAAGACTAATGTCCTGTTCTTAGATATAAGACATTCCTCCCCTAGTGATACTATCTCTTGTCAGTAACTTTTAGGTTCCATGTTTTGCACGTAGTTCAGAAATGCTTTAGGCTGGTGTTAGAAACCTTAAGCTATTTTGGTCAGTCTTATTTTTTCTAGGCAGTGTTTGTTCTCTGTTGTTAAAATGTGAATGGATCTAATTTCCAAATGTTAAAATAAACCACGTACATTTTGATTCAGAACATATGCTTTGTGATGGGTAGAAGAGTGCCAGATAAATTCCATAGGTTGATATACCCTCAATCAGATTCTGCTCCTCGTGTCAATCTAGAATAACTCCAGTGAAGTAACTGGAGTTATTCTAGATTTGCACCAGCGCAATAGGATCTGGCCCCTGATGTTTAAGATAACAAAAATTAGAAGCAGTTCGGCCTCAGCTTGAGAGTAGACTGTCAGCCTGTGCTTTGTGAATCTGAGCTGTTTTGCCTATAACAGATTTTAGATTGTAAGACTTATGGGAGCAGGGATAGTATCTTCCTCTGTCTTTTTCCTCTGCAGAGCACCTTGTTGATGATCAGTTAGTAATATTATTCAGAATCCCTTATGTTACTCTTAAGAATTTCCCACTCGTGCACATCTACTGTAGAAGGGGGCTTAATAGAAGATTTGCCATTGATGTCAAAGATGTATTGTTTCCATATACTACTCTCTTAGTAACTTCAGCGACAAAATGAAACAAAGCTCAGCCTAGAAATATTTGCAGGAAGCATAAGAGGAACATGGTAATTTTCAGGGGCATTTGCTTTCAGCCTGTGACCCCTGGTATCAGATGCTCATCCTGCATTTTTGTTTTTCTAGAGAAAATATTTAAAAGTTTTTTTTCTCTCCTCACTTTGGCTGTAAATCTAAAGGTCTTCATGTTACAGTCACTGCCCTTCCTGCTGAGAAAGATCACCCCAGATTCCCCTTTAACAATATCGTGCACAAATATGAAATCCACCATGTGTGTATTAAAACTCGGTCAGTATTCAATACATCCTGATGACTATCTTACTTCGTACATCAACTTGCTGAACATTTTTCAAAAGTAGTACAGATTTTAAATCACCATAAAAATAAGATCACCACATAAATTGTTGCTGCAAGTATGTAACATGAAGTTCACTTTGAAAAAAATTATCGCTTCATCAATGAAACGCGGTGGGCTCAATCCTGAGCTGTGCCAAGCTCATATGTGGCCAGCTTGGGACGGGAGGAGGAAAAGGAAAGGTACCTGTCACCCTAAGAGCTGTCCCATGTTACACCACCTAGAGGTTACACCACCTATGTCAGCTGTCACCATCCATGGATTCCCCTATGCTGAGGAAATACTTGCCTACCTGTAAAAAGAACAGGAGTACTTGTGGCACCTTAGAGACTAACAAATTTATTAGAGCATAAGCTTTCGTGAGCTACAACCCACTTCTTCGGATGCATATTGAGTGAAACATATCGAGGAGATATATATACACACATACAGAGAGCATGAACAGGTGGGAGTTGTCTTACCAACTCTGAGAGGCCAATTAAGTAAGAGAAAAAAAACTTTTGAAGTGATAATCAAGGTAGCCAAGTACAGACAGTTTGATAAGAAGCAAGTGTGAGAATACTTACAAGGGGAGATAGATTCAATGTCTTTTTTGTTTTGTGTTGCTGAAGCAGGTTCTTAGTGAGGGCCAAGGAGCTCGTCCGTTGTGTTTCTCTATCTCTGTAGGAATTAGTGATGGGACTTGTCACAAAATTCCAGATTTGGATTTTGGATTTCACGCAAAGATTGGGGATTTGGAATTTTGCTTCAAGCCCACCCCTAGTATATATTATATAATATATGTGACTGTATTTTGTATGGACGTGTACGAGTATGGATGCATAACACTACTTGCACAAAGAAACTTCAGTGCTCCTGTATTAATTTAGATGAAATATAAGGGCCCAAAGAATCAAAAGTGTTAACATGACCCTGAATCTGTCCAACATTAAATGGTTTTAAACAAGGTCCAGGGTTTGGTATACAGAAACAACAGCCTGCTTAGCACCATGACAAACACACCGTTTTAACCTTTTATTAAAGATACAGAAAAGAAGGAAAAACAGTTAAGGCATTTGAAATGTAAAGTATTAAATAAGGCTTTCATTTTAACAACATCTCTTGTTCCTTTCCCCTTTATCTGTAGAGAGTCTTTACAAAGAAAAAAGCCCTTGTTTTACAGTCTCTTAGATGTCCTTTTTAGGGAAAAGAGTAAAAGTTAGTCAAAATGGGCTGGAGCTGCTGTTGTTGTTGTTAAAGTCTGATTCCGTTTCCTAGAAGACAAAACAAGACACAAACACATAAGAGGGGAGAGAAAAGAACAGCAAAGATAGAAAATGTAGCTTCTGTGTCTGGCATTGACTTTCACTTGCAATCTGACTGCTGGAGAAACACAGGCATGGCACATGGGCTTATGAGCCACTCCAGACCTGGCAAACTTGTACCAGCATCAGTCTGTTTAGGGCCTTGCTTTTATCCGCCTATCTCTGCACCCAGGCTTACAGTAGGGTTGCAAAATATACAGCCTTGGCTGGCTAAGCCAGACTCTTATTAAACAAAAAGCAAAAGGAGAGGAGAGAGAGAGAGAGAGAAGAAATAAGGTGGGGAAGGAAAAGAATACACAAGGGGGGCAGGGGGCAGTCTTTTGCCCACACAAAGGTATTTGCACGAACACAGTCTCACACTGCAGGTGGTATTTGGCATTCAGCTGGAGCCAGTAGAGGTGGTGATGTCATCTGGCTTCTTCTCTCTGCCCTGACCTAGTCAGGACATCTCTCAAGATCAGGAGAAAGAAAGCCCGGGATACCAGAATACAGTGGGGATAACAGATGGTGAAACTTGCTCCTTCCCCTTCTCTCTCATCTTTCTGTCAGCCATAATTTCAATAGCCAGCTTTCTCCCCAACAAAGTTGTTTTGTTAGGACTGTGATGGGTGGAATAGCTAATCCCCTTGTTATTTTGGCCTCATTTCCAACACTTCAATTTTGGTTCACTGATTTTCAGTTCTACACTTTTTTCTTATTTACCAGGGATAATCTTAACACTGTCCTTGAATTATATCAATAGGCCTATTTTTTTTTTTTTTACTAATTCAATCTTTGTCTCACTTTTGCACCTTTTCCCATCAACGTTTGTTGTTCTAAGTTACTGTGAACTGTCACTCACTTTTTACCAGTTGAGCTCATAATTAGGGTAAAGTTGTAGGCCCAATTATCCAACAGCACTTAAGGTTACGCATATAAAGCCATATTTATTTAGGGATCTAAGTAAACTGCATGATTTTCAACAATGCTGAGAACTTGTTACTTATACTGAAGTAAAACGATTTCTTTTCCAGAGGCAGCTAGGAGATGGTATCCCCAGGTTCTAACCAGAGTAACAAAAGATGGACAAACTCTGCCACCACTTCCAATTGTTTTTTTCCTAGCCTATCAGGATTATCTCAGCCTCAGACTAGGTCTCCATCTGCTGTCCTGCATCAAAGCCCCAATACTGGTTAGGCACTGGGTAAGCAGGGAAACTGCACCATCTGGATCTTGTGAAATAAAGAACTGACTGTCATCTGCGTATTGGAGGCACAGCAGCCTATACTACCTCCCTAAAACTCCTAAGAGCCTCTGTACACATCAAAGGGGACAGAAACATAACCCTGTGATCAGCAGCAGTGTTCCCTCTAATTTTTTCCACCTATGTGCAGAATGAATTTTGTTAAGTGCACCAATATGGAGGTGACGTGTGACACATCACCTTCATATTGGTGCACATAACAAAATTCATGTGGTGTGGGTAGAGTCGAGGAATTCTTGTGGGAGGGGGCTCAGGGCTGGGGCAGAGGGTTGGGGTGCAGGGTGTGAGGGCTCTGGGGTGGGGCTGCGGATGAGGGGTTTGGGGTGCAGGAGGGTGCTCTGGGGCTATGGCAGGGAGAGAGGACTCCCCCCAGTGCTCTCTCCCCGCAGCAACACCGGGCCTCGGGGGGAGAGGCGCTTATCCCCGCTGCTGGAGCTCTGGGGCTGGGGCTGCAGCACGATAGGCAACCCTTCCCCATCCCCAGCAGGTCGTGGCCAGGGGAGGGCTGCCTGGGCCACGCCTGGGTCCAGGCTGCTCCGGGGTTGGGCCAGGCTGCACCGCTGTGGCTGGGCCAGGGGCCGGCCCGGGCTGCACCTGGGGCCATGCCTGGGCCTGATCTGGCCGCGGCTGGGTCCAGACCACTCCAGCCGCAGCAGGTCCAGGCCACAGGGTGAGTTGGGATTGGGGGAGGGGTGTCCCTCCTGCGGCAGGTTGGGGGCTGGGCTAGAGGAGGGGTGCCCCTCCCCCGGCCACGGCAGGTCCCCAGGCGGATTCCCTAAGCACCTGTGCGGCGCTAAATAGGCTGCTGCGCGGCCATGCAGCTTACAGGAAACTTAGGTCAGCAGTAGCAAAGGCATTTGATGGAGCCATCTTGGTTTTTGTCCACTGTCAAGAAGAGATGAGCAACCAGTGAGACCAGTGCAGTCTCCATATCAGACCCAGATCTAAAATTGAAGTGCCTGGGTATTAAGAAATCTGAGTATTCCAGGTAGTGCCAGAGTTGCTTTGCCTCAATTTTCTTTTTAACTTCCCTAATAAAGGGAGATTAGAGCTTGGGGATAATTAGAAGATTCTAAGTGTACAGAGATGGCTTCTTGAACAATTGCCTAAGAACTGCTTCTTTGAGAGAGGCTGGCAACCTGCCCTACAGAAGGAGTTGCTGATAATTTCCACAACATCTCTGGCTGAAACTCAAGGGGAAAATACCTCACATGTGCCCTCTCCTCCCACCTAAGAAATAGCTCTGCCTCCAGAGAGGTTGAAATTTTGTTCCTCGGGCAAACAATACAATTTTTCATAGCACAATTGCTCGGGAGAATAGATAAAGTTGTCTCCTCACAAACAGTGATCTCTTTTTCTTTAGTGTGGCTCTCTCAATAAGCCTCTGTCCACGTTGCCATACTAAGCCAGCAGAGAAATGGGAGATCATTACCTCTGTCAGTAAGAATCAAGTCTTATGCTAGTTTAGAGGGGGACTTCCTTTGGTCACAGTGTTGAATTCATGACTGTGGTTTTGCAATATGGATAATTGTTACTTTCTAAATTCATGCAATAAACTAAAACAATCAATCTTATTTCACATGTAATCTCAAATGTTTGAACTAAGGGTTGTCTCAACCCCCGTGGATGTATGGTTTGATTTTTCTCATCTTTTTTCAAAACCTCTGGTGTTCTCAAAGCAACAGTTGAACATTAATGAAGCTGTAACATTAGTCTTCCCTGAGACGTTGAATCTAGGGCCGTACAAATAACAGATGAGTAGGCTAGCACCTTGCCACTGCATCATTGTCTTGCTGCTTATTTTTAATTACATCAAAGCTTTGGAAACATGATCCCATAAATGCTTTGTGGGAATAGTGGTGAATGTGTTCATCATGTGAAATCCATAAATTGCTTATAATCCTCTCAAGATGTTAAAAAAAGCATTAAGTAATTGAAGACAGGAAGTCCTCAGTTAATTATTTAGAGGTGTTATCAATGCTTTAAGTAAACTGAAGCATTTTCTGCTATCTCACTGAGTTGAATGCCACTGGGACCTAGGGGCAGCAGCCATCATCTTCTCATGTTCTCTAATGCAAACAGCACATGGCAGCTTGTCAATAAAGGACCTTTTTATATCATTTATTACTGAACACTTCCACTACCCTGTACAGAACAATTTGGATGACAGTTATGGCATTGTTTCACTTTGTGTTACTACTGCTTTACAAATGGGCCTGCTAATGCTCTGCGGTAGGGGGGAAGGATTCACTAAAATAATTAGTGGCATTGCTGTAAAAGAAAGCTTAGAGTGCCCTCTTCAGCAGCAGCAGGTGTGACGATGATTCTTCTTAACTCTATTTTTATATTTGGCTAAAATGGACTTCATCAAGAGTTTCTGTGAGTGATCCTATTTAAGTAAGAGCCAGAAAGTCACTGACATGTAGTTTCATAAATGAAATAAGACTCCAGCGTATTTTGTGATAGAGTGGTTTGAAATTATTCTACACACACACACACACACACACTCTCTCTCTCTCTCTCTCTCTCTCTGTACTTAAGGGTAGTGGAAAGGTGTGTGACTCAGTAGCACTGCCACTGGACAACCCTATGTCCAGGCAGTGGCAACTCATTAGCAACATTTTTTTTCATAAATAAAAACTATCAGCAACTTGACATCCTCCTGAGTGAAATTCATGTGGTGGCCCAGGACTTTCAGCACTGGAGCTAATTGCTGACCTTGCTGCAGCCAGGACCACAAGCAGAGACAAATAGTGTTGGAAATGATTGACTGATTGATAGGATAATACATTCTTTAGGAGCTGTTTGGCAACCACTTGGAAAAACAGTGGATGATACAATAGTCCGGTGACTGACCACCTTAAAGTAACAATTGCAGAATCAAATTCCAAGGGAAATGACTCCTTGAATTAGTAGCCACAGGGGGAAAATGTTAAAAGCAAAGTATTGTTTGCATTTCAAAATCATCATATTACATTTGTTGTTATTTATTATTAATCACATGCATAGATTTGTACAGGGCTCTCCAAAACGTGCACAAGGTCCTTATAGCAAAGAACTTATAATCTATCTAAAATCAACTACATGTATGACTAGAAGTTCCAGGCACCAGAATTTTTCCAGTAAATTTAGTGAAACCATGCGCTCTCTTTTTAATGCCCATTTTTCTCTTTAAAGTGTAGCTGTAAATGAGTATTGCTTTATTATGCATGTTTCCTTTAAAAGTGAACATGACTCCCTTATGGGGAATTCAAGTAATTTGTTGCCACAGTAATCTTTCCTAGCCTGAAATGTTAAATTATTGGCTTTCCTCCATGCCTTTGCTTGTGTCTAGTCTGCAACTGTCATTTCCTCCCCTCTTACTTTTATGCTGAGTGTTCGGATGATTTTTCTTCTCTTCCAGTTCATGATTAGGTTACATTCAGGGCTGTCCCCCTGAGTCATCTCTTTATTTTCTCTTCTTCACATCCTGTTCAGTTTGTGAGCAGCTTTTGTGTCTTCCATTCATTATTTTACCTCTTTAGCTGCCTGTTGCTTATTACTGCTCTGTATGTACAAACCATTTCTTTTAACCGTGAAAATATTGCCTAACTGGTTTTGAACAAAGACTTTTATCCTAACGTTTTTTCTTGTTGCGGGACTGTATTTTTTAAAATAATTACAATTACATATACACACGCTCACATGAATCTTTAAAGAACAATATTAAGGTTGCAATCTCAAGCACTCAAAAGTAAGAAATGCCTGAATGAAGGTTGCCTGTGTAGCCCTTGTGCATATACAATATGATACAGTCTTTAATTATATGATCACATACTATTTTTTTCCATAGGATCCCTCCTCATTCAGAATGGACAGTGCTCAATTAATGAGAAGCTAGTCAATATTTTTTATCCTCATTGCAATGTGTAGCCCCATGCCTTATTTACTTCATGCCATTCAATTCCTGCTCTGAAGGTAGAATTATTAGTTTCCTTATGATGCTCATCACAATTATATCCGAGGCCTTCAGAAAAATTAATTAATTTATCTACGTAACATCCCTATGAAATGCGGGGGTGGAATTATTCCCATTTTACAAATGTGGAACTGAGGCACAAAGAGATTAAGATCAGAAGTATCCACTAATTTTGTGTGCCGAATTTGAGATGAGAGTACTTAGCATTATATAGCACTTAATATGTTATGCACAGCTCCCATTGTCTTCATTTGCAGTTGTGAGTGTTCAACTCTCTGTAAATCAAACCCCAAGGACTCTGGTTGGGCATCCAGAAAATGAGGAACACATGATTAGTGACTACCTCTGAAAAGTTTGGTTTAAATGTGTTGCCCAGCATCACACAGGAACTCTGTGGCAGATCCAGGGATAAAATCCAGTTCTCAAGGGCAACATTCAACTGTCTTAACCATGAGACCCGCCTTTTCTCCTGCAATCCCCTGACTGCTTCACTATACACTATCCAATTTCTGCAACAAATGAGGTCGAGGTCCAATAGATAACAGCCTCCTTTACTACACATCCCCGATTCATCCCCAGAACAGGTGCACTGAATGAGCCAGATATCCTGTGGAAAAAATAGTATGTAATAAAAGACAGTATGATCGCGCATAAATGCAAAGGAGCCAAATTCAGGATGCACAGGCAAACTTAATTCTGGGAGTTCCTATCTTTTGAGTGTTTGATTTTGCTTAATATTCTTTTAGCATAGTTTTTATGTATAATTGCCTATGTTTTTAAAAAAAACAAACTGGAAAAAAGAAGAAAAAATTCTGTCCTATAGTGTTCTATTGACACCAACATGGGTCGTCGCCAGGTTTGAAACCTTTAGATCTTTGTGCCAATGGAGTAACTTTCCCTCTACAGTTGTAATTCTCAGGATGTCTAAGGTCATCATTTTAGTATTATGTTTGTGTTTGTTTTGTTTTTAGGTCTCCAGCCATACACTAACTACAGCTTCACACTTACAGCCTGCACATCTGCTGGATGTAGCTCTAGCCAGCCATTTGCAGGTCGAACCTTGCAAGCTGCTCCTCAGGGTAAGGAAAAGGCATTCACATAATATTAGAGGGAATCATTGGGGGCCAAATTTCTGTAAATGGGCAAAACTCCATTGACATTGATGGAGCTCCTGAGCAGTCATTTACAACAGGTAATTTGGCTCTTCAGTGCAATAATTGTATTATAACCCCATCTGTATGTTGAACCACAGTGTTTCAGGTTCTCTGTTTTTTGTGAGAACAACTTTCTGGCATCATCTTGAAGTAAATGATTTCCAGATGCAATTGTAATGGGCACATTTTTATAAAACAAAAATAAATATATGCTGACACATCAGGCAAAGTTAGTCCTGTGATTATCAACTTTTAAGTCTGATTCTCCATTGACCTGCATCCTGAATATTTATTTATGTCAGTGCTAATAGAGTGTAGAATATGTGTAAACTACCTTTCTGATCTGGTAGTGGTCTATGCTCACTTTGCACTGGTGTAAACGACTGCACAAGGTACAGGGAAATAGAGAATCAGGACCTTTTATGTTTAATTTTATGATATGGCTGAAACAATGGTATGCTGGTGTTAACAGGAGTATGGTCGAAGCCTCGTCATATCACAGTCAGCTCAACACGCGTGGAATTCTATTGGGGTGAACCAGAAAAACCCAATGGACTCATTTCTCAATATCGATTGCTTCGTAATGGAGAAGAGATTTTCCAGGGTGGCAGCGGAAATCTGAATTTCACTGATGATGGCCTGCAGCCCAACAGTAGGTAAGGCCTAATAAAGAACTTTGGTAAGCTTCAAAGAGTGCTTAAGAATTAGATTTTGCAGGAGAAGAGTAAAATTTTCAAAGGTGTCTAAGATTAACTTGAATCCAATTTTCAAAGTGCATAACCTGCTGAAGTGCTTTTGAAAATCCTGCTAAGCACCTATCTACACCTTTAGGTGCCTAAATACCTTTGAAAATCTGGCCCTGAGGGCCTAAGCCTCCTACCCCCCAACCTCCTGCCCGAGCCCTGAGCCCCCCCAAACCTGGAGCCCCTCCTGAACCCAACCCCCCTGACTCTCTCCTGCACCCCAACCCCCTGACCCAGTCTGGAGCCCCTCCCGCACCCCAAACCCCTCATCCCCAGCTCCAGCCCAGAGCCCTGTTCCCTCTGCACTCCACCCCCCGGCCCCAGCCCTGAGCCCCCCAAACCCCTCATCCCCAGCCCCAAGCCCTGACTCCCTCCCAAGCCCCAACCTACTGACCCAGCCCTGAGCCCCCCCAAACCCAGAACCCCTTCCTGCACCCCAAACCCCTCATCCCCACCCCCAGTCCAGAGCCCTGACCCCCTCCTGCACCCCAACTCCCTGCCCCAGCTCAGAGCCCCCCTCCACACCCTGAACCCCTCATTCCTGGCCCCACCCCACAGCCTTTACCCCCCAACCTTCTGCCCCATCCCTGAGCCCCTCCTACACCCCAAAGCCCTCATCCTCAGCTCCGTTGGGTCATGGGCATCAACAATTTTCTTCACCTGGGTTCCCAGAAAAAAAGTTTGAAAACCACTGATCTAGTCTGACCTCCTGCCCATTGCAGGCCACAAAACCTCACCCACCCACTTCTGTAATAGACCCCCTAACCTCTGGCTGAATTACTGAAGTCCTCAAATCATGATTTAAAGACTTCAAGTTACAGAGAATTCACTATTTACACCAGTTTAAACCTGCACGTGATCCATACCCCATGCTGCAGAGGAGGGACCCCCCAGGGTCTCTGCCAATCTGACATGGTGGGGGACGGGGCGGGGGAATTCCTTCCTGACCCCAAATATGTCAAACAGACCCTGAACCAATAGGCCACATGCCATTGTAGGCATTCCCTACCTCAGCATCTTTCTCTGAGCTTTAATTGTTCTGGCTCATAGTTCCACTTTTCTTCTATTGGCTTGGCTCAGAGAGGTTGAAATTCTTTACATAGCAGACTATGCACTGGGTGGTGGATAATGCGTGTTGAACGTACCAGTTTGAAGGTGAAAATCCCTAATAATAGCATTTTTAGGAGGCCATTCTAAAATTGTTTTTAATGCGTCACATGGTCTAAGTGTTTCTTAAGATCCTATGAAATGTAATATAAAAAATACACCTCTACCCCGATATAACGTGACCCGATATAACACGAATTCGGATATAACACGGTAAAGCAGCGCTCCGGGGGGGACGGGACTGCGCACTCCGGCGGATCAAAGCAAGTTCGGTATAACGCGGTTTCACCTATAACGCGGTAAGATTTTTTGGCTCCCGAGCAGAGGTGAAAGTAAGCCAGTACGGTCCGGTACAGTGTACCGGCAAGAGCCAGTACGCCGTGTTGGACCACACCGGCTTCCGCGAGGGGGATTTAAAGGGCTCTGGGCTCCCCGCTAGGAACCCAGAGCCCTTTAAATCCCGCCCACAGCTCCGGCGGCTGAGCTGGAGCCGGGATTTAAAGGGCTCAGAGCTCCCCACAGCGGCAGGAGCTCCGGGCCCTTTAAATCCCGGCCCCAGCCCAGCAAGGCTCGGGGTTCCCCGCAGCCGCGGGAGCTCCGGGCCCTTTATATCCCGCCCACAGCTCCGGCAGCCAGAGTTGCGGTGGGGATTTAAAAGGCCCGGAGCTCCGCGGCGGCCGGAGCCCCGGGCCCTTTAATTTGCCCCTGAGCCCTGGGGGCTCCCAGCCACCTCTGCAGCTGTGAGCCCCGGGTTGATTTAAAGGCCCTGGGGCTCCCAGCCACAGCCGGGGCCCCAGGGCCTTTAAATCTTGAGGCCCCGCCTCTTCTGGTTGAGGCCATGCCCCCTCAGGACTCCAGCAGTACCGATAAGTCCTGTAAGTTACTTTCACCCCTGCTCTCGAGGACAGCGTTATATCGGGGTAGAGGTGTATTAGTTTGATTAGCAAGAGATGTGTGACTTTTCTTATCTGAAAAAGGAGAAAGTGAAAATCTGTATTTTAATGCAATATATATAACATGCTTTGTGGTCTGTGCTTCCTAAACTGGTGCAAAAGGGAAATAATTCCAGTACAAACATCCCTACAGCATTTAACCACCGTTTCTGTTGCTGCTGTTTTTGTGTTTGTGCAGATATGTTTACCAGCTGGAATCCAGCACTGGGGGTGGCAGCAGTACTAGTGACAAATACGTTATACAAACACCAGTAGAAACACCAGAGGAAATCCATGTTCCATATAATGTCACAGTAATGGATGCATATTCCATATTTGTGGCTTGGGACACTCCAGGTAAAAGCATACTTCTGTATAGTTCCTTGTGGCAAATTAAAGAATTCCTTGTGGCAAATTAATGGGCATAGGGAAAATAATACATTGAGCAAATTTGCTGTTTCATTCTGGTTTCTCATTCATGTCTGGTGTCAAAAAGTGCATCTGTGAATTGAGTAGCTGGTATCCCATGCTGATGATTCTTATAGAGATTTAATATAATAATAATATTGTCTCATGTACCTGACTGCGTTGTTGTGAGGATTGATTGTCTGTACATTGGTTTGAACATGTAAACTACTATGTAAGTACTAAGTATTATTGAAAGAAACAATTCAAATAGCTGCATGTCAGGAAAACTGAATGTAAATTTCCTTTCATCTTTGCTGAAACTGGATTATTGACAGGGAAGATGCTTGTTGATGGTATAAGTTCCTATATTCCTGGAGCCTTAAAATGCCACTTAGCCTGCAGGATGAACAACCCTGAGTTCCTGTGACAAAGACACTCCTTTCCTGTATTTTAATTTTAAGATTCATGAGCTATACAAGAAATGGCTTTTCAGTTGTCTCTCTTTCCCAACTTGGTCTCGATGCTCCTGATTTCTAAATGTTAGCAACTAGTCATAGGTTTGGCTTACTATCAACATCATCATCATCAAGAAGTTGATATGGTGAAGTCAGCCATATCCTGAATTAGAGAAATCTGGATGGTTTTGGGGACTGGTAATGAGATATAGAGCAGCTGTACTCAGTTGTTACCAACCATGGCAAATGGAGTAAGAGTGAGCCATGAACTAACCATGTTGTGGCATCCTGAGACTGCATTGGAATCTGAGATGACCCTGATTTGCAATATTGAAAAATATGTTTCAAACACTTCATAGTCCAGGGGACTTCAGATTCAGTGGTTTGGTTCATGCCCATCTTTAGTTGCAATATTTGCATTTTAATGTTTCATCATCGGAAATTAACATCACTTCCTACTTTACTCCCACTCTGTGTCATGGAGACAGGAGGACCAGAATCCATGGAATGATACTGATTTATGTGAGGTCCTCATCCCAAGTGGCTCTGTCCACTATTTCTGTAGAGAAGGCATAAGGTTCCAGGCCTCCTGGAGATGGTTGGGATCAGCGGAAGGATTTCTTGGCCTGGTGTGCAGATGTGTAAAGCAGGAGTTAGGTGTTAACAACCCCCTTAATCTCACATAACCTTGGGCCAGGTTTTGGTCCAATGATAGTTTAGCCTACTTATTAGATAAACAAAATCTGAACAAATCCGCTCCAGAGTGGGTGAGCAGCAGTTCGGATTTAGCTAAATGTTTGTCACCCCATCAAGAATAAGTGTTGTATTGAGTCAGTACAGATCACGGCTTCACTGGCATGCTACATTTCCCTGGCATGATAAAAATTATATGATACAATTATTGTGGAATAAATGTTAACATCATGGATAGAAACAGAGAGAGAGAGATCCATATTTCCATCTAGTATAGTTAATCTCCAGCAGGAACTTCTACTTTTACTTGTACATATCCATAGAAGCTATTGATAATCATATATCCATCAAATATTTAAATTTGTTAACAGCACAAAAATATTTAAATTTGTTAACAGCACAGTAGCTATAACTGAGCTTGTAGTTTTTTGTCATGTTAGGTCGCAACCTCTACAGTGGACAGCTTGTCACTTACCGGATCAGTGGTCGGGGTCATCAGTGTGTCAGCTTGTATGTGTATGGGTTTTTTCAGTGTGCTGTCCAGCTCTGTGCAGATAGCTGGTTCAGCAGACCTTGATAGTACTACCCAATGTTGTTAAGTGTTGACGGCTGGAACGTCCTTGTCTTGGTAATGCTGTTCAGGCTTCTGTTCTTGAAGCTTCAATGTTATTACTGTTAACAGCATATAAGGCAGCCTGCTCATTCAGCAAACCCTGATGTTACTTATAAAAAAAGACCACAGGCACAGCTTGGTAACAAAGGCACTTGGCTAGGTTTATTGCCCCCTAGGCCCAGCATGAGTGCCCTGGCTCCGTGGTTACAGGTACATTGACACATGAGTGGCTAGGAGGGAGAAGAGGCTCAGTCAGCAGTGAAAATATCTGCTGTCCCCTGGGCCACACAAAAAATTACAGCAAAGTGCCCCAACATCTATAGCTAAAACTAACAATTAGGATACACAACTTACACACAACCTTATGTATTTCATAACATTTGTTTGTTATCTTCCCTTGTTCCTAATATCTTAAACTAAATTGGAAAGTGTCTGTACTAGCTGAAATGCATTTACGTAAATATCTGGTGCCTAGGACAACAGCAACAACTTTGCCAATTTCATGTACTAAACAGTGAACTTATAAGCATCTGCTTTAATACATGGCCTGACTTGGGTTCACAGTCCCTGGCTCAGGCCTTAAATCTTGCACCAGGCCATCTCTCCCTACTACGCTGACCTTTTTAATGAAGCACATTAATGTGTTTTCAAATGTCTAGATAGTAGTTATTTTTCAGGTGACAATTTTCTTTGATATCAATCTTTGAAAAACTTTTGAAATGTTTGTTTACAGCAGGAAAAACAGTGTGAGGTTTTTCAGTTAATTCTTTTTTTGATGTCCCTTCTTCCTAATTATTTAAGACATTTTCACCTTGCAGAATAGCCACTGGCTACGAGAAAGTGTGAGGGCATTGACAGTAACTTCACCTAGAAAAACCATTTTGCATTCAAGTATGTCTTAATAAGTATTGTGGTAATGCTTGATGCTAACTCTGCCCATTTAACCAGTGGCTACTAGGTCTATAATACCCTGAGCTGTCAATCTTTTAATTTGCAGAAGCACAAAATCCATTATAGAAATGCTAGAATATATGAAAAAGATTAAAATCTTAAATTAAACTTTTCCCCTGACTGCCAGGAAGGATTTAGAACCCAGCAAGAAGGGAGGTGAATTTGACTGGTATATAATCTACAGCTGATTTTATTGGAAAGTGCCTCATACTCGGCTATAGTTTTGATAGTAGGTATCATTTAAGGTCCTGAATATTCAGTAACATTAGAAATAAGTTTTAAATTGCAAGACAATATTGAAATGGTGAACAAAGTCTTGTGGGAATGGGGTGTTTGTTGAAAATGTTTCTCAACATAGTCTGGATCTTTTCATTTGTCTATTTGAATTCATGTAATTGGCAGTAGGTTAAAAGTCTGAGACTAAGGCTTTAGTAAGTGAATGGTCAACATAATACACTTCATTATCTTTAGATTAGGACTTTGTAAAAGGGCAAATGGGTTCCTGAAACCATACACATTGTGGGATTAGGTTTTCATGAATATTTGCTGGACCTGGGTTTAATCTATGCACACAATTGTAGAGGTCCCCCTGTAGGAGTCCATGTTCTCTGTCAGTCCCACATACCCCTCTTCGAGTCCTGGGATGCACTCCAGACATATAACTTACTTATGTTGTCTTGATAGGGGCTGAGTGACTGGATCCCTCTCATTTCCTACTCCCTGCTGAGTCCCAGTCTTCAGGCCTTTAAGGGAATCTCAGTGGCTTCTCCCACAACATGGTCTTTGGGATGGGCAGTGAGGTGGGGGCCACTGTTTCTTCAGTGAAAGGGTCTTCAGGTGCACAGGATGCACCTGTTCTTCCCACACCAGTAAGGCAATAGCAATAGCAGGGAAACGCTCTGCTGCCAAAACACACACTGCGCACAGGGGCATAGATTCATATAGTACCCCTAAGAGATTAATGGATGTTCCTTCATAGTCGTGAATTTTGGATTATGGGTCACTATAGGCTGTCCATGCTACAAATGTTTTCTTGAAGAAGAAGGGGAGATACAGGGTTAAAAATGAGAGGAGGTAGAGGTTCCCTGTAGAGGCTCAAAAACTGATCTTTTGAGATGGCATGATCCTCTGTGAGTAAACCCTATAGGTCCAGATCACGTAGCCCAGGGAAGCTGAGACCTGCAAGGTTAGTCTAACACTACTTGTGGCCCTTATTCACTTCATGGTTCAGGATAGTCTTTTTCTGTTAGATTTACTTTTTCCATGTATGAATCCGAGGTTTTGCAACACACCTATCAAAATACTGTTGTTTTCCCCTTTTACATCCAGAATTGAGCCTTTATAATAAGGGTTGGCAGTGACTCTCCCACTGAAACAGTCATTTTAATTGATATTGTTTCCAGGAATAAAACTGCTTTTTATTAATCAAGTTTTGATGAAAGGGTAGTTGTCCTTGGTATCTTCCTGTCTATGTATAGCAGGCCACTTTGGCATTGGATCTGCTTATCTGCTGTAATAAATTTGAATCAAATATTCACCCTCGGGATTAATTATGGACATCCTATCAGACAAATTCTCCTTTTTGGGGTTTTAGTTATGATGTTTCAACATCAGTGATGTATCCAAATTCCATAACTTTAGAGAGATATAACGTTTTAAAACTCCTGACCTAGCTAAATGGCAAGGTGGCTGAGCAGTGGTTAAAATGATGGATTCAGAAAAAATGTTTGACACACCTCACTCGCTAAGGAAAATAGGGCTTTATTTTCTGAAATAGGTATCCCATTATTTTTGTGTTACATTGCATCAGTGCACAGACCTCAAAGGTACGGTACATTTCACTGATATGCCACAGAAGGATATGTTACAGTTACTATGGAACAACTGTCAATATCATAGACAGAAACAGAAAGCCTGAATGGGGAAAAAACATAATTTTCCCCAGGCATATCCATAAATGTTATTGATAGGTAGGCAAGTATCCATCCTACATTTAAACTCATTAACACCACCAATAGCTCTCACTGTGACCTAACCCTGCCAAGTGTCTTCAATAGCTATGAACTTCAGCGAAAGCTGACGTCCACCAAAACCCACAGGATCATGTCCTCTGTTGCCAGATTGCCTGTTTCATATGTTAATGATCTTCTGGATTTAAATATCCCCTTTTCTCATATAATAGAGTTCTATTTCACTCCATCAGTCTGTGCTTCCAGGTTTTGAATAGCATGTACAGA